TCTTTCGTTTTCGACGCTTTTAAAAGTATAAATGATAAGCACGTACATACATACTTATGTATTGTGTGTATATAAAAAAAAAATATTTTTAAACATATGATTAGAATATCTTTCAGTTATAGTAGTTTATACAGATTGTTTTAAATTTTGAACTGAGAAAAAAATTTAAAATTGCTGGAAGAATCTATAAAGGTAAAGAGCCAGTGTTGTTATTTCTTAGTTATTTTCCCAATTGGAATTTGTGGACGACAGTCCGACTAATTATGCGAAAGGATATTGTTGGGGTAGTACAAAAGAAGGGTAGAAATAAACGAGCAAAGTATACGTATTAGACAATTAAAAATCGGAATTGAACATACAGACGCAACAAAATATTTTGGCGATGACGGCGACGTTTGAGTGTTTCAAATGCGTGTGATTTAACCGCGTTACCGACGCATCTGAAAGCCGGTCGAGCCATCAGGTCCGCGTGGCAAACGTAAAATACTTTCCTGCTGCTGCTGCCTCAGGGCCGTAGACGATACGCTGCCGCCGACCACAGGCGACCATGTTTGATGTTGCGTCTGCGGCTGCAGCTTTGGTTGTTGCTGCTGGTGCTGGTGTTGTAGCGTAGTCGGTAGCGGAAGTGGCAGCAGCGCTGACATTGAACGAGTGTTATAAGCGGGTGGTATCTGCTGTTGTTGCTGATGTTGTTTTTGCTGCTGCATGTAATAATAATTAGCTTGCTGCTGCTGTTGTTGCTGCTGATTGTAATAGTTATTGTACAAGTTTAGAGGCGAACCATTGCCACCGCCGCCGCCGCCATTATTGCCACCAGACTGATTCCCCTTGGGGGAAGTTGCGTTACCCTTGTACGAATTGTTTGTGCTGGCAGTTGCGTTGACGATGGCGGTTGTTGTTGCCGCTGTACTATTCGAAGTATTTGCCGCCCTACAAAGTTATAAAGTGCGTTTTACGTTGGGGAAATAATCAATTTATTTGTATGCTGTACTAAAATCTCAATATTTTTACTTACCCCGCTTCGTCTTCGGGATTTTTTGCAGATCCCAGAATGCGCAAACGTGCCTCGGCATATTCCTGTTCGCGCTGTTGCAACGTTTTGATAGGTTGACGCGGTTTTATGCCGTTGTTACGCGGCTCCATCGATTGGGTGGGGCGACGCAAAATTTTCACAGTCTGCAAATTAGTTGGTGCTGCATATGTTGTAGACTGGTACTCATCTGCCGGTTTGTGTAGCAACATCATTACCGGCTGAAATGAGGCTGCCATATCTTCGAGCGGCGATTTCAAATCCGCATCGGCAGATGTGCCAGCTGTTGTTACTGATACATTACCACCTGTGGTATTACTTGTACATGCGTTGCGCTGTAGCAATTTCATCGGAACGGTTGCGGCGACAGCAGATGTTGGAAAATCAGCTTTGGAGAGCGTAAATTGGTCGGGATCAACTGTGGAAGTTAGTTTAGTGGTTTGTGGGTAAACAGCTAATAAAGATGCAGGTGTGTTTTCCGAAGTTGTTGGCAAATTTGAGCACAGTTTGGCACTATAAGTTTTCTGCTGTGTATCCCGTTGCTTCTGTTGTATCTTCTGCAGTGTGTTTGTTAACTAAACATAAAACGAATATAAAATTTTATCTTAAAAATAAACTCTTCAATTACTACATAAACAGAAACTACTCACGCCAACTTCATCAATTTCTTCCCAATTGTCTAGCACCTCGTCACCATTGGACATTTCTGGCTGACAGCGACCTGTAGATTTTGCTGCACAAAGTTCTACGCTCCTGATCTTTTTACAGTCTTAATCCAGTCACGAAATTTGCCGAATTTCTATTTTATGCTGCGATTAAAGCTTCAAAAAGCACAGCAATTTGTCTTTCGACCTTTTTGACTAATTTCAGTCACTTTTTCTTTTCGTCTTTTGTCCGCTTCTACGCTGCCCGTGCTGCTGTTGCTCTGCTACTGCTCCGCCTTGCTTTTCTTTATTCATGAATAATCCATCTGTAAATTTTATATTATTTTTATTTTTGTTTTCTTTTCCACTGTTGATGGTGCAAACAACTCCAAATTGGTGGCAATGAATGATCGTATTGTCGCCCTCTTTTTAGGCTTGCTGACCCAACCGTGGCTGCTTTGCTGCTTCCAACTGCAAATTTTCCACAATGGCTTTTCGCTAATTCACAATTTGCGCTCTCCTAGCCTATTTTCAATAAATAGCAAATTATACAAATTGATTTAACCTTTTTTCACATCGAATTTCACACGTTTTTCAACGAATTAAAACAAAATTATGTGAAATTAAAGGTGGAATAAATATATATTCCTCTGCTGCCGTTGCTGCTGCAACTTCCACGTAGGGTTCGAACGATACTATCGATATTGAGTAAAAATCGATACTGAGGGTATAAAAATCAGTACTTTAATACTCGATACCTTATTTGGAAATTTTACTCGATACTTTGCAAAGTACTTGTAGTATCGAATACTTTTTAAAAAACACACTTTCTAAATTTTTTCTTCCATTGGCAACCCAATTTTCTTTGCTTAAGGCTGGTATACAGTTCTCAAGAAATCCGTCAAGGAAAATTTGCCATTATTTCGTGTGTGTGTCCAAGGAATTTTGACATTTTCGATACTTCACAGCCTGTTGCCTCACTCTTTCCTCAAGAAATAATGGAACGGGCATATATTTCTGTTGCAAACCTGGGTTGCCTTGAGCTCTTTTTTCACAAAAAACTTTAGAAATCCGTAGTAAAAAGCGTAGCAAATTTCTTAAGAACTGCGTACTGCCTAAAGGAAATTTGACTTAAGAAAATTTCTTAGCCATTTCTTGTACGTCATTTTGTATGGAATTTTAGCTTTTCTTGAGAACTGCATACAAGCCTTTAGTCCCCTTTCAGACACGTCAAGTCTGGAAAGCAATTTTTTCGCATTCTCTTTTGTATTTTCTATTTGCTTCCACACGCGTTAACTTTAATTAAATTCAAGTCCTTGGTTCTTTAAATGGGAAGCAACGAAAAGATCAAAAGAGACAAGAAAACTTGAAACGAATTGACGGTACGGAGGTATCTGTACCCTTCCCCTCTCTTCTCACCTCCTTCGCCTACGAACGAGCAGACTTGAAAGCAAGACTTGACGTGCCTGAAAGGGGACTTATATGAGGTGCAATCCCGTATTCCTCGGACTCGGACTAGTAAAACTTCCAAAAAATTAAAATTCGCTCAGAGCGAGAGAGTAACATTGAAAAGTACGGGATCACTTTCTAGTAAAAAATGGTAACTTCTGTCAACTTCAACATAACCTCCAAATTTTGGTTGTAAATTTTTGTTTATTTTGCATGTAAACACACTTACATAGCTCACACATGTAAATAACCAAAATTACTTTCAAATTCATTAGAATCCACTTAAACAAGTAATTAAATACTTTTCAACATGAATTAGCAGAGTGCACTTTTCTTTTTTTACAATTTGGTTGCCAAACACACTACAGCTGATCGTTTGACACACTCACCAGAATTTACCAGCAAAAAGTGCTCGGACTAAAACTGGTAACTTCTGACAGAGAGAGAACCCTATTTACTCTCTTTTTGTCCTCTCAATAAACAGAGAACCGAGTACGGAATCGATTTCCAGTAAAATCTGACTGATTCTGACTATTTCTGACTAGTCCGGACTCGTACGGGATCGCAACTATGAATTACTATCATTAACTTTTGTCCATCACTTAAGATAAACTGAAATTTCGTGTAGTATGTTGCATAACAAAAACCAAATACGTTAAAGTTTAATGGCCTTATTCATAAAAAATAAAGTAGGTTTATAGAGCTTAATAAAAGGACATTTTCATAAATTTTTCAATTTATAAACCTTTTTTATTTTTTATGAATAATGCCATAAAACTTTACGCAAATTTCACGAGAATGCAGAATTTTTAGAAGCTACTACCTACACCGTTAACTTTTAATTCAAACTTGCACATTATTATACTTAAATTGAATAGGCTACAAAAATGCATACCCAAAAAGTTTACAAAAATTCTTAATAAAATTAGAAATTCGTGAAAGTATATATAAATGTATGTATGTATGTATGTACATTTAACGTTAAAATTATTTCTAACGTGAAAGTAAGTTCTGCAATGAAATAAAAATCAAATATTTTAAATTTTTATTGTTTTAATCTCTGGAAATAACTAGACATACGATTGGAGAATAAAATAATTTTAGTATCCCAAAAAACGTATTTTAATCTGATACTGAGTAGTATCGAAACTTTTTCCCCGATACTTTTACAGTATCGATACCATGTGCTCGATGCCAGAATGAATACTCAGTATCGATAATCGATACCAAAGTCTCAAATTTCGAACCCACCCTACTTCCACGAATCAACTCACCTTGCTCTTTCTGCTGTCATTCGCCAGGTGAGTTGCCAGAAGGTCAAAATTCGAGTTTGGAGACGGACCCGATAGTCAAAAAACGTAAATCAACAAAGAACGTAAATCTATAAAAAGCAACAACTCGTTACTTTGAAAATGTGCCGATTTTGACAGTATCAAAGAACGTAGATTTACGTTCTTTGGTTTCACAGCTAAATTTTCATTTTGCCCTTTGTGACGGTAAGATTGTTGATATTTTAATATAAAAACAAAAATTGGATTTAAAATAGCTTATTTTCTAAAATTTGTATATGGTCAAATCCGGCAAAAATATCGACAATTTCGATCGCCTAAAATCTCCAAAAGAATAGCAGACACCCCTAACAACACTCAACATCTAGTTGCATGCGCGCTACACTGCCAGATTTCGCTAATTACGCAACGTATGTGATACTCTTCCATGTTTACTGGACAGCAATAAATTGTATCCTGTAAGGACGGCCAGTTGTAGATTTACGTTCTCTCTTTACGTTCTTTGCTAGTTCTTAACTTAACCTCAAGTTGAGCTCAGAACAAAATGATTTTTGGGTTTTATCATTCTCGTAAAGAATCGGCATCGAGAATCGAAAAGGAATTACTGGGTATTGAAATCGTCTTGAAGTAGTGTGTACCAAGTATTGGGTACCAACAATTCAGCACATCACAATTGTTTTGTGCTTCCCTCAATTAACCAATAACACTAGCTGGCAGTACTAAAATTAAAATTAATCAGTGCAGCATTATACATAAATATATCCAAAAGCCATATTGGAGTCGATTTAAAGATAGCATAGAAACGATACACAAATGGATTTCACAACATTTGCCAAGCCAAGCACTGTGGACTCAAATAATGATAGGAGTATTTCGGACTTGCACTTTTGGAAGCATGTGGAATATATTGAAAATCATGGAAAAGATCAGGACGATTATGAATACTGCATGACCGAATTTCTGCGAATGTCAGGCATCTATTGGGGTGTCACAGCATTGGACATTATGAACCAGTTGGATCGTCTGGATCGTGCTTTTATTATAGATTTTGTACGCCGTTGTCAATGCCCAATAACAGGAGGCTTTTCGCCTTGTGAAGGTCACGACCCTCACATATTGTACACACTGTCGGCCATACAAATTCTCTGCATTTATGACGCATTGAATGAAATCGACTGTGAAGCTGTTGTACGCTATGTAATCGGTTTACAACAATTTGATGGCAGCTTTTTTGGAGACAAATGGGGTGAGGTTGATACACGTTTTAGCTTTTGCGCTGTCGCTATACTTTCGCTATTGGGACGTATGGAAGGCACTATTAACGTTGATCGTGCAGTCAAATTCGTCATGTCGTGTTGTAATCAAACAGATGGCGGTTTCGGTTCAAAGCCAGGAGCTGAATCCCATGCCGGACTCATATACTGTTGTGTGGGCTTTTTATCGTTGACGCAAAGACTGCATTTAATTGACATCGATAAGTTAGGATGGTGGTTGTGCGAACGCCAATTGCCATCTGGCGGTCTAAACGGACGCCCTGAAAAACTACCGGACGTCTGCTATTCGTGGTGGGTGCTCTCATCCTTAACTATATTGGGGCGTTTGCATTGGATCAGCGCTGAAAAGCTGAAGGAATTCATTCTATCTTGTCAAGACACCGAAACGGGAGGTTTTGCCGATCGTACTGGCAATCTGCCTGACATATTTCACACGCTCTTCGGAATTGGCGCGCTTTCGCTGCTGGGCTTCGAGGGACTCAAGCCGATCAATCCAACGCTATGTATGCCACAATATGTAATCGACCGCTTGAATGTTAAACCGCAAATACTGCCAAGACCATAGGAAGAGGTATGTGAAAGTGCGGATTTTAATTGAATTACAAGATAGAGCTCTGCGGAAAGATGTAGAAGCAATTTTTTTTACCAAAAGTGCTATTTAAATGGAACGCATGTTTGTTTACGTTTTAATACCAACTAATTAAATATATCACAACAGCGAAGATTTAAACAATACACTTAACATAACAAAAATGTAAAACCATGTAACATGATTTTTATTGTATTGACCGTATCAAAGATATATGTAGCTTTATTTTTTCATTAAACAATTCAATTATGTACCTATATTTAAGCTTAGTTTATAAAGTTAAATAGACAATGAAAGTAAAAGGACCATTGTAAAAGACCTACAGAAAGTAAAACGTAGAATAATAATGCGATGGAAATTTTTAACGATAATAAATACACATACAAACATACAATTTAAAATACATATAGCATAGTTTTTTAATTCTTGTAAATTGGCAAAGCAACAGCAACATACAAATATTTATTGCGCGATTTCAGCATTATTTCAGAAGATTTTCGGTTCAACAGCAACACATAAAGAAAGCAACAATATTGCGGTAATTATAACGTAGCTCGGGCATACCCATACGTAGGTATGTATATACAAATTTTCTTTGGACCTTTTGTGAATACGCCAAATTGAGGGATTCAAATCCACCAGCACTATCCCGAAAAAAGGTTATCTCTGTGCATTATTTTACTTATGTAACTTTATTTATTTATTCTAATAAAATACAGAGCAAAGATAGAATATACATACATCTGAGATTTGCTTACCACAAATCACGGTTTAAACTTTAACTATATACAAAATCGAAATAATTTAAAACTCGAAACGTAACCGCATAAGCGAACTACATAAAATATCTTATCTGATTTAATTTTAACATGCAGGCATTATATTCTGATAGAATACTAGTGAAATTTGGTACAAATTTATAAAACACACTATTAGCACACCAACTGATAAAAACTCCGTATTCTGGAGTTAATTAATATTGATTTTTTTAGTTTGCTAAGGCACTAAGGCATTTAGTTAAAACATTGTTGTTAGCGCTTAGTCGTTGAAAATGTAGCCTCTAGTTTATGGATCTGTCTGCTTTATAGCCGTACCAAGCACCAACACTATGGGGTTTTATTATTTCTACAAACTACAAAGCACTTAAATTTATGCTACAATTATATAACTGGATACAAATTTGTATTCTTTGTTGAATGTGTTAGCGTTGTGTTATTTTTTTATTGTTTTAGGAATTATATTTATCATCGCTAGTCAATACATTGTAAGCACATCCCAGCGCCCATGAAATTTCGTGGCCATCGATTTTTTTGTAAAGCTGTAAGAATCAATTAGTTTTATTTCTAAAATACCACGTTTTTAATATATACGCGAATAATAGTTACCTTTATCTTTTTACCGTCACCCAATCCAAATCCTTCGTGCAGCAGCACCGAAATATACGTTAGATCGAAGCACATGAAGGGTTGTTCATCATTCGCAATGCTACACACCTCCTCCGCTTTTTTGCGAAACGCCGACACAGTGATTTCACCGCCCCGGAAGGGATCAATAAGCCCAGATTCGATAGCGCGTTCGAAGTAATAACTGAAAGCAGCGACTGTGTGCTGTTTCAGCGTAAATGGCTTTGGTTTCACCAGTGGCAAAACTTGAGTTTTAACTGCTTCCAAGCACTGTTCAAAGTCTACAACAGGCTCCTCTGCTGTAGATTTCGTATTTGGCTTGCCGCTTTAAATTAAAAACACAAACGAATTTTAATTTACTTGACAAAATTTAATTTTAAATTACATTTGTAATTTAGCCAACTTACCTAATTTTATATTCTACATTTGAGTATGTCCACGTTCTATTATTGATTATTGGGTTGACACATACTGATTCCACATTATTCACATCCTTATTGTATCCTTTTGTAAACACAGAGTGACGTGCTGCCATTAAACCCAGCCCTAAGTAGCTGTGTGTGAAAACATCGATTTTTCGGTTCAACGTGTTGACCTCGTGCATATATTTTTCGTACAGCGGCAGCTGATCTGGATCGGTAGGTGCAAAAGTGACTTGTGTGCTGCCACCTCCTAAGTCTAGAGCGGCAGCTTGATTGGTTTTAGACAGACGACCAAGCAAAAAGTTCACTGTAAACCATGAGAAAATGCCTTCATCAGTGCCGTCCATAATTTCAACTGCGTCTGGCTCAATGCTAAACTCTGACTTTGCGAATACTTCACGCACCGCATTTAAAAGGTTTTCAGCTTTGTTTTGTGGCAACAGACGCAGGCCAGCGGTAGCCTTCAGTACAAGCGGCGTCGATGCCCACTTCTCTTTGGGAATAAACGCTTTAGCGTCATCCAGTAGCAATTTGATGGAATGTGCACCTTTTGTTGGATTCTCAGCAAAAGAAGATAGACCAGGTTTTCGTTCTTTGAAAAGCTCCTCCGATAATACCAATTTGTTGTCTTCAAGAGTAGAATAAGAAGAAATTGCAATTAATTTTGGTGGTAGGGGCAAGGGAGAATTTAACCAGAGAGAACTCATACCCAATTACATACCAATAAAACTTCTATCGAACTTGTACGCTAGAACTCGGCTACCAGTCGAGCCAGCGTCGATGATGACCGCAAATTGATTCCGAGTGTAACCTAGTTTCGATGCCAAACGCACTAGAAAAGGGCTGGTGGAATCCATATAAACGCCTGGCGTGGGGAAATGTATGCATTTTGCCGGTTAAACATACATATTTCTATGTAATGTAATGAAATGAACACGTGTACATAGTGCATAATTGCACTTACCGAAAAATACCAGCAGTAATGTTGCCGATAAAACCAAACACAGAAACGAAAGCTTCAGACCTCTTGGCAATCCTTTTGATGCACTGCTTGGACTTGAAGACTTGCGCCGATTGGGCGCAGCGTCACCGCCCTGTTCATCGTTAGTGTTTAACTGAGAAAAATAAACATAAATAGCATTTTATGTAAAACACTTTAAACATACAATGTGAATATTTTTACAAAATTTATTGCAAACTTACTAATTGGTACTCAAATTTCATTGTACCACCAGCACGTCCTAACTTTTCACAAACATTTCTATTGGGATCATAGTATGCATATTTATTTAAAAATAAAAAATTAAGTGACTAGAAGTTCTATTGCCCTCTATTTGTTTTTGCTGAATCTCCATTTGTGACTAGAAATTTGTTGGTTTTGTGTCGTGGAAGAAGTGAAACGTAAAAAATACATAAATCTAAAGGTGCGGTTAAACGTGGCAATGCAAGCGCTTTTTCTACGCACTTTTCTGTCAAAATGCGAAATCGAAAGTGTACTTTCCCGCATTAACAGCCAGAAAGTCTACTTTACCGTGTAAACAGCTAGAAAGTCCTTTTTGCATTCATTCGGATTTTGGTCACGAGCGGGTGTGGTATGGTCGCGTCTGTTCGCTTATTGTTCGCAGTTATCCCACGTTTTGTGCTTGTGAAAATTTTTTAAGTGTTTTAAGACAAAGGCTTTTTGTGTGGGCCGCGCTAATCTATAAACTTTATTTCTATATTTAAATTAACTCGGTCGTCGCGAAAATATAATTAGTTTAACAAACTCAGGTGAGTGGTCCTGGCTAAATTTTAATTGTCACATTTTTCTTAGATTGAGGGAAAAAAGATTGCCTCAGGTTGCCGGCAAAAAAGAAAAAGAAGCTGTCGTTTAAGGCACACTCTAGTAAAATGGCGTCGCCGACACGAAAGTCGGTGGCGTCTTTTGTTAAAAATGCCACTAGTGGCACATCCAAAAAAGCTAAAATAATTGAAAGCGAGGATGTAACGAGCTGTCCAATGATGGTCTTGTAAAAATCTGCGAGGACTCCTTAGCAGGTAATAATGCAAATAATAATGATACGACAATGGACTGTGATTTGAGGTTAGGGTGAGTAGGCAGTGAAGGTTCAGTGGTATTAAATACAGTTAGTGCTAATATGCAAAAAGAGCGCGATAATAAGCAAGATGGTGGTGTTGTCTCCTACCCGCAGCATTTTCGCGGTGAAATTTTTGTGCTGGTTGACTCTTCGGCCAGTACAGTTATGAACAATGAAAAATTGACAACAGGTCTAGAGCTTTTCAGCCAAATCAAAGACTTGAGATTTAAGGATATGGATCTCATCCATGCGGTTGGCAGGTCACTCTACAAGGTGACATTTACAAGCACGTACTCTGCAAACACCTTTTTATTTGATACACGTATTGTGAAGCGTGGTTTAAGGGCGTTCGTTCCTCGGACAGCACTCGAGAGCTACGGGGTAATCAGGGGTGTACCTACGTGTTTTAGTGAGCAGGAGATTGCCAAGGAAGCAATTATTAATATTCCAATAGCATCCGTTAGGCGCTTTACGCGCAAAGATGAAGCTAATAGCACTTATGTCCCCACTACTACTTTAAAAATTGGGTTTGAAGGTAATGAAATCCCAAAGACCATTGTTTATAACTATACCAAACTGACGGTTGAATACTTCGTACCCTCCCTGAGGCAGTGCGACAACTGCGGAAGGCTAGGGCACACCAAACTCTCGTGTAAAAGTAAGGCAAGATGTTTGAAGTGCGGCAACCCAGAGTGTAAGGGTGCCGACTGTAGAGATAAATCATGCATATTGTGCGGTAAAACTGGGCATACTGCCAAAGACAAGAATATCTGCCCCCAATGGGAGAAAGAACAAATGATAAATCGTATTAAAACAGTTAAAAAAAATGTCCCGCAAAGAGGTCTTGGACCAATATTACCCCAAGACGAGTAATCGCTTTGACTTATTAGATTCGGATGAGACCAGCTGTCCACATCTTATCAGTAACCCAAGCGAGGTGGTTGACAAGGACATGCATATAAACAAAAATTTTACTAAGAAATCATATAGCTATGTGACCAAAAAACACACACCCAAAGAAACCAAACCCCTTAGCAGAGCACCCCGTAGACCCCCTGCGCTGATAAATCCGGTGTACAATTGCCCGGAATAACAAAAGGGCAAGTTACAGAAATTGCGCGGCTAATGGCCGAAATGACCAAAATTACCCAAAAACTGTCTATCGAAAATAGAGACACGCAAACCTTTAATGACATCCAATCAGTAAAAAACCAATTTGAACGTATTTTAAATCAAAGGGATGGGAAGAAATCTCAAACGCCTTCACTAGCAATGATCATATAATTGCCAATAATTAAAAGCAAACCTTGACACTATTGAGTATTACCTAAACAAATACAATTTTGACTTAGCTTACTTTTTTGTCTAACACCACCCATCATAGAAAAATTCTAAACTATAGTCTAATCAAAAAATGTCGTAGCGATGGGTATGGTGGTGTAGCCATAGCCATCAAGCATGACGTTAAATTTAAAAAACTCGCCTATAACTCCGAGTATGATGTTTTGATGATCCAAACCAAAAACCTTGACCCGAACATTACAATTTGCAGCCTATATTTTCCATCCAGAATCAATATAAATGATTTCAATAATGAAATAACCAGGACTTTAAATTTTTTAGAGGCACATAGAAATATCTTCTTAGTAGGTGACTTTAATGCCAGAGCAACCCAATGGGGCGATAGAGTTGACTCAAGTAGAGGCAGGCACCTCATCAGACACATTCAGCAGTCATCTTTTCGATGCTTAAATGGTGGGGACTATACGTTTAAAATGGATATTCGGTCGGAAAATGGCTCAGTGCTTGATCTGGCCTTCAGCAATTGCGGCTTGTCATGCGACTGGAGTGTTGATTCCACCAGGATTGGGGGTAGTCATCACTTTCCCATCTCCATTGAGATCAAGGAATTTAGCAACAATGTTACTAAGTTTATAGCCAAGAAAAAGTTATGTGAATCCCTTAAAGAATTGGTATATGAATCCAACATACTTGACTTTGAAAGCAAAGTACAAGAAGAGATCAAAAGAGCCACGTACGTGACAAGTGGAAATCGAACCCCAAACCCTGATGGAATAAAGAAGTTGACTAAGCGTATAGATTCTTCCGGATTGCGTTCCAAAAGGCCAAACAATGGCCCAGCCCCAATAACTTCGAAAATCTGCTTGAACAACGGAAGTCCGGGAAAAAAGTTGTTAAAGATGCCAAAAAGAAGAATTTCAACAATAAAATTGACAAAATAAACTCCAGTTTAGGGAAAAATGCGTGGAAGTTTGTCAACACGGTACTAGGATGCTCAACAATTACAAGGAGAGGAGTTTTAACGTCATGTTCACCGACGCATCGCTCTCTGACAGCAGGACTGGGTGTGGCATATATAATTACAACTATGACACTGAAACTGCATTCCTCCTTCCCTTTAAGTCGTCCACAGCCTTTGGGGAACTCTTGGCCATTGAAGAGCCAATTAATATCGCCTCCAATAGTAACTACCGCAAATTAGTAATATTTACAGACAGCCTTGTGTCGTGCCAAACCCTTAAAAACCCTAACTCACTCAACAGCATCGCTAGTAGAATCCTACGAAAAATCCACGCAGCTACTTTCGACAGTATCCATATTGTATGGATACCCAGTCACAAAGGTATTCCGGGGAATGAAAGGGTTGACAGTATTGCGAAAAAGGCAATTGACAGTAGCAGTTGTAAAAACTACTTATGCACAGCCGACGAAGCTATCAAGCAGATAAAAGAAACATTGTATAACGAATGGTATGCCGGTTTCTTGGCATATGCAAATGACCATCCTAACTTATATGCTACTATCTTCCCCACGAGAAGAGATACCGCATGGTTCAAAAAACTTTCACTGTCGCCTACCAATATTAAAACCTTGAATCGGATACTAACATGCCATACCTATGACAAGAACTACCTGTTCAAAATTCAGGCCTATCGGTCAAATCGCTGCTCGTGTGGTCAAGCTGATGGATACGTCCATCAGACTTTCCTCTGCAAGCGGCACTAGAATGTTAGATCCGGATACGATATTTTCCAAACACATAACAACTTTGAGGCAATTTTTCGTGACAAAAATCTGGCCAGGATAACTCAACTGGCTAACTTTTTACAAAAAGCCAAGATCGTCTTTTAACTTTTATGTTTACTGTATCTTTTGTTTAAAACCCACATATGTATATGTATAGTACTGGTGTTGTAACTAGTACATTCGTTTCATGTATTTATTATTTATACCGTCTCCACCTCGCTCAAACCTTTTCAAACTAATCCGCCACATACAAGGCTAACATAAGCCGCACCTAAACTACAAGCGTTTCAAGCAACTTCGGCACGCCCAGTGCAATCGTTTCAACAAGCCGTCTAACGTGTCCCAACCTTCACCTTCCTTCAACTCGTAATACGTACTGAAGTCCTACTACACCAGTCAGAAGATAATATACACGGAGGAACAACCTGGAGTATGCGGTCCTAACTCTTAGGAACTGGCCACTAATCCAAAACACAGAAAAAAGTCCTTTTTGCAGATTTGCATAAATAACTTTCGGAAATAAAAATTGCAAGGTGTAACTGCAACTGAAATTACGCAAATCGTTTTCGAGAAATAATTTCAACTTGCTCGTGCTGCTCTAGCAATTTTCATTTTTACTTCAAGTGCTATCAATCTAATCAAGTGTTGCCTTGTAACCCCTTTTTTTTGCGAATTTGAATAAAATTATAAAAATGTTGAATAAAATATGAAAAATATTTGTGATTAATTTATTCTATCAGTAGAATTTGGAGTATTTAATTATTGTATCTTTAGTAAATTTTTCAGGTCATTAATTTTGTCATAAGCACAAAAATGTCTGGTAACATAATTGAAAGTGGACTTGTCGGCATTCCCCGTGTAAACAGACATAAAGTAGTATCGGAAAGTTCGATTCTCAGAAATAAGAACAGCTTTGGAAAGCCACTTTACATGCAAAGTGTAACTGCTCCTACAATCTCTTTGGGCCTGAGTACACTAGCCTGCTCAGTCGGACTGAGCCGTCCACCACTCGAACGCACACTGGACCGGGCAGTCGGTCGAAAACAGGTTTCAGTTTTGTATACATGAACAACGCATGATTGTGTTAGTGCATGTGGCGCATGCAAACAAAACGAAATAGAAAGCATGTTGTCTATGTGTGCGTGTCAGTCCACCGTCAATGCGCGATTTTCGCGGACTGAAATGAGCGAGGTAAACTCGAACTCTCTTCCCCCTCTTATCCACACAAAACCGGTTTTAGGCGGACTGAGCAGTCCAGTGTGCGGAGGCCCTTTTGGAAATTCTTGAGTTTGACAGACTTTTGAAAAGAAGTTGCAATTGCCACGTCTAACAGCTACTTAACTGTGTGTTCACATAGAGCTTGAAAGCAGTGTTGCCACACATCCGCTTTTCCTACAAAAGCTGGTAGGTTTTTTTCCAATCGGTAGGTTGGTAGGCTTGATTGGATTTTGATAAGTTCCGTAACAATGAGTAATAGTTATTTGCGAAAAATAGAAAATATGTATCCCCAAACATTTTATTTCACCGCTGCGTTCGTATAACGGCGACCGCAAACATGTAAATATACCTGAATCCTAAGTACAGACGTATGTATATCCTCATTATTGTCAATATACAATATAAACATCCATATACATATCGTCGTTTAAAGTACAAAACCGCGTATTGCCAAGTAAAAGAGATTTATGTAAGTACTTTTGCATATCTTAGTATCTGCTTTTAAGAGCTTAGAGTTCGTATGTGAACATGGATCTGTTGTTCCAAGTCTTTGTAGGTATTGGGTCGCTTACGCTCATCAGAAAAACTTCAAGTTTATCAGTTGCAATAAAATTCATTATCTATGTACATTTATACTTACGCTGTTTTCTTATCAGACTAAGTACTTTATATCAAATGTGATTGTGAGTATGGCAATAGAAACGGTAAATGTCTACAAGAAGGGCAGCAAGTTATGAAATTTTTATGACAAGGCATGTTTCAGCTTTCTGCTGCGATAATTATGACTTGCGTTTTTTTACTAATATTCTTAAAGGAGAGTTTATCGCAAACATGTATATGTATGTATTACTGTCTACGTATGCATTTAAATAAATAGGTAGTAGATATATGGGGTCTTCGCACCCATTTCAGTAGTTTAGGTAAACTGCTTGTTATGATTAGGTAATTTTGTCAACTGTGAACGTCTTTTTCAGCTAAAGCTTCCTTTCCATGAGGCGATTTTTTGACAGGCGATAATCGCCTGCAAAAGTTGACTTGCTGTCTACTACTCAATCAAAATACGTTTCTTTAATTTTCTTTTCTTTAACAACCTTTTTCTTTTATTCTTATTTAAATTTGGCCAGCGAATTAACATTAAATCCGAACTGGCGTATTAAAGATGATAAAATATGACTTCCGTTTTGAAAAACATATCTAAAAAACGAGTGCAGACACCGATGGGAATGAGTGGAATGTGAGTTTTCAAGTAGTTTTCAGCGAAAATTGGGTTTCGTTTGACAGATTTTACATAGACGGAAACACAAGTTTTAGGTGAAAACTCAGTTTTGGCAACGAAAACATGTTCTCGTTGTCGGTCATAACATGGTATTTTAGCCTGGTAATTTATATTTATTAACAGCTCATTCGTAGCTTTTTTCCTATAAAAAGTATATTGGAACAGAAAATTTAATGAATTTTACTTATTCATACGCATTAGGCTTTTCGACAGCGGACGGATTTAAAATTTATTATTTATTAAAGAAAAATTATCAAGCTTTAGGGGAAAAACTACTGAGTAACAAGTAACGAAGTATCGAGCTATGTGTGAAATCGACATTGTTGTTGTTGTTGTTGTTGTAGCGCCTATTGTCTATGTGTTTGCTTCGGTCAGTTTATGTAGTAATTTATGGTAATTTGCAGGCATGTTTACGTGAAGTTCGTTCAGAATTAGATAAATGATTTTTTCATTTAATACAAACGAAAAACCACTGATGCCCTTAATTAATTTCTTTTTTTTTGTTTTGCGCACTCCAACAATACCCACTGCAATGAATGCATGCAACAACATTGGTGTCATTAAACTTGGCATCAAATGTGGAAAGTTATATATAGAAAAACATTTTAATCAGACACCAATTTACAATTTCTTGTTGCAATAGGGAAGCATAATTATTTAACAGCTCGCAACGATAGAGATGCGAAAAATGTGTACGATCGTTAAGAACATAAGACGTACTAGATACATATATATGGGTCATTCCATACAATATTTACACCTCAATGTTTTTTTTGGGTGAAGTATATTTTTTTTACATTCTTTATCGAAAAAAAAAGTCCCAACATTTTGAACGCACGGAGAATTATCTTCTTCAATTGTTTGCAGTTAATAAACTATTTGTCGGAGAAAATCAGTTAAGGTATCAAAATGTGCGTAATTACATTACATTGTGTGTGAGACAGATTAAAATAAAAAAATGTTTGCATTAAAAAATCGCAATTTTTTTGTTTTTTATTTTTTTATTAACTTCATCATGTTTGATTTTAATTTTTTCAATCTGAGTAGTTGTCAAACTTTATCGAGTGCGCTGTAAAAATTTTAGAATGGAAACACCAAAACTGTAGAAATTACGAGTTTTTTCATACCTACTTTAGTATAAACTTTATCCTACAAATAGTTTATTAATTGCAAACAATTAAAAAAAGATACTTCTCCGTGAGTTAAAAATTTCGGAAACTAATTTTCGAGATTTTCGAATATCATGATGAAATAAAAAAAATAGGTGTCTTCTTTTTTTCGATAAAAAAATATATTTCACCCCAAAAAAATATTGAGGTGTAAATATCGCATGGAATGACCCATATGTATGTTGACGTCAAATAACCTACACAACCATTGGCCCGTAGTCATAGTCAAAATAAAGTCGACTTTAAAGTTAGTTGCAGCTTTTTGACATAATTTTCAATGGGATATCTGTCAAAAAAGCTGCAACTAACTTTAAAGTCGACTTTATTTTGACTATGACTACGGGCCATTAAATTTAGAATTTACTAAGGAAAATATATTGTGGTCATTTGATCACATACACTATTGCAGAAGCTTGAAGTTAGTTTTAGTCTGAAACTTAAAAAAAAAACAACAAAAAGTCCAAGCAGTAAAAGTCTCAGCTGCTATTTCACACATATAAATGTACAGTTGTCCACAAAATAATAGGAGTGCGATGTTTTGACCACTCTTGGCTGTGTTACTGTTGTCTATTTAATATTTGTTATTTTTTTTTTTAGTCTAGTTGTTTATACAGCAAACACCATATAATTTCACATCTCAATCTTGGTAGAAAAATTCTGCAAAGTTTCACAAAAATTTTAAAATTTTCAATCTGAATCTTTAGAAAAAATTTTAATCAGCTAGGCTATTATAGAAAATTAAATGTATTAAATAAAAAAAGAAAAATAGTCAAGACTGGTCCAACCATCGCATTCCTATTATTTCCTGGACAATTGTATGTATCTTCTAATTAGATTTTAGACTTCAGTGCGAATAGGACCCACGTCACTTCATATACAAAGTCAGCGCGCTAACCGTCTCCAAACATACGTGATGAATAATTGAAACTCATCATTATGTACTAAATACCGTTATGAGATCTTTAGATTATTGGTGAAAGTGCAAAAACTTCAATTTTTGTACTGCGACCTGAAGTGAGCCGGTAAAACCTGCTTATTGTATAGTTTACCTGTCATTCGAAGGTGTGTACAGTTAGGCTAAAATTCTATTCTAGCTAGCTGCATAGTCAGCTAGTTTTACTCACTTTGCGCTTTCGGACATCTTTCGGCGACGTCATTTTTATTTTGTTTGTATTCGTTTAACTAAACTCAGTTAAATTATATAAATTCCCTCTAATAGAACATCGCCAGGTACTTAATGATAACAAGGTGTGTACTGCGCTATTAAATCAAGCGAATCATTCAGTATTTACTAAATCAAACTGAACAAATAAATGCTAGTTTTTTATCCACTGTACTTGCTGATGTACTTGTTTTTTGTTTTTGTTCCAGTAGGTTGTTCGCTTCCAATTAGATTCGCACTTGTTGGCGACACTCAAATGTTATCAAAGTCACCGTTCCAAAGATTACACCGTGTTCTCTAAAACAACTCCAATAAGAACTAAATTCACACGAGCTACAAAAATTTGCTAGTGCTCGAAATGGCACATAGCACATTAGTGTACATATTAACAAATAAACACACACATTTATAGCCCGAACACAATGAAAACGACGAGCTACGGACCACAGCTGTCACAATTATTTTTCCAGGTATTCTTATGTAGATAATTTTTTTGACGACGACAGGGCTACGCGACGACTGTGGTTATGGCAAGATTAGATCTATTTATATGATCCAATTACACAAGATCTGACAAGATGAGTCAAAAGAAAAAAGTTATTTCCTGGCTGGCGTTTGTAATTTCCGCACCATAAACGAAATATTTGAATAAATTTTTTTTTTTTTGAAAATTGCTTAGAATTACTGAAATAAACCACCACTAAAGAAATAAATGTAAACAAGAAAACAGAAACATAAAACTTCAAAAATACGCACGTCACGATTTTTTCTCAAACTCAGTTGTAAATGGCTAATGGTCGACCGGTCAGATTTGTATCATTGGTTCATGATCTATTTCTATTTTTCCAGTGACAGATAAGGTTCTTCCTCCTGTTTTATGTCAAACTCATAAAAATTCATGATGTCGCTGCCGCTTTCGAAAAAATCATGTCGCCATCGACAAGGCTTTTAGATAATGAAGATAACAAATTGGAAGCTGTGTAGATCGTGGTTTTAAATGTGTTCAGCACTTTAGTGGGAAGGGTGGCTGGTTGCTGTAAACGATTTGTAAGTGAACCCCGTACGTGAACGCAAATGCAACACTGTAAAACAGTGTATTCCCAATCTTTAATTATGTTCATTAATATGAAAAAGGTATCACTTTATCGAATTAGCATTTTTAAGTCGAAACCTTATTTGTCGGAAAACCCATTCCTAGACCATGCTGTGGAGTTGCTGGCCTGAAAAGCCTGAACGACTTCGAAAGCTGTAACGCCTGAAAAACCTTCAGCTTAAACGCTTCAACCAAGCAGAGTGCTTTCTTTTTTTATAGATTCGAAAATACGATTAAATTTATTTAATAAGAGACCTAGTTGAGGTTTACAACTTTTTTAGCAATTAAAATTGTTATAAGGTAAAGTATGTTTTCATATAAATATAATCTCAATCAAAGCTCGTTTTTCAAACACCCCGCTTATACAAACAAATCTCAGATTATTAGCCGTCGAATTTGTTGTGCTTTTTTTTTCTCACATCTAAAGAAAAGTTTATGTTTCTTCTCTGTATCACCGAGATCATTTTTTTTGCTATGTTAAGCAATTTAAATATATTTTAACTCAATAAATTTTAAAAATACCTTTACAAACCTCTTTTTCCATGATTCAATAACAGAAAGATTTTGTAATAAAAAAGTCTTCTCGCTCCTACATATTAAATCGGCTCCTTTATTTGTGCAGAATGTTGCTTACTCTACAGTTTCTAGTTATATTAGTAGTAAAACCAAAAAATCTTCATATTAAATATTCGATGGCATCACCATCGTTTGCATAATTTTCTGGAACAAGTATAGAATAGCGACCGTTTAGCTATAAAATATCCAAAAATGCCGATTGATAAAACTTTTTACGCTGATTTCAACGATACCAAATTTATTTGGCGGAGGTAAAAAATAAAGAAGGTATAATAGATTTGCTTGCTTTGTTTATTTATATTTTTTTAACATTAAATTGTTGAAACCCAAAAGTAGATCATGATAATATATGTGTAACGAGTTAAGGATAATAGCTTGTACTTTCTAACTAATATACATTTATTTACCATTAATTACGCATTTTTTCAAAAAGTGTTCATTCATGAAAAAATATCATATGTTCGTTTTGTAGTGGTTTTGGTTTAAAAATATAAAAAGCATATAAATTATGTAGATCAGCTGAAAGACAAATTAATTATCTTTATTATCATTAGTTTTTTAATCGCTTATGTAGTTCATAATATATTAATATTTAAAAAATCTGAAAATTTAACTTTAACCTTCTAGAACGTCTTCATTTTTTAGTTGCGTCAAAAATTTTGGAATGGTTCAAATAAACGCAAAAAGTTCTATTGAACTGCATTTTTCGTTTTTGCATAGCTGAACGGTCGGTATTCTAGAGTTGTTCCAGGTAATGACGAACAACTTAAATTAAAAATGCATATTCCACTAAAACACCAAATATATTGCAAATTCGCATATAATTAAAAATACACATTTTACTTCTGATTGTATACTTTGCGTACTTTTTGTAGTACCTTTCTAATACCGTTTTCGCAAAAGGCGATGACATTCCTCCCCTTTCTCCTACTTTCAAAATACAAATCTAGATAAAGGAGTGTCAAATTTTAGATGTCACAAATTACATAACCTTGTAAAATATTAAAAATTAAAAACTATTAAAAAATATCAAAATTATATGCATATCTGGCCGCCAAAAAAGAGCCCAAGGCGGTAATTAGTTATTTCCCATCAGGTCTAGTCGTACGCAGAGATAAATAGGCGCTAATATCATGAAGCAGACATTCGCACAAAACAAATTCAAACACGAAAACTGGATTTTGAATAAATTTTTTGGAATTTTTATTTGAAATCAAAAAACCGTCAAAGTTAACTCCAAATGTTCAATGTGGATGATTGTATTTTAGAAAAGCTTTCTTTCATTCAAAAAGTTAAATGGGGCCAATTTGAACATAATTTAATATTTAATTCTGTAGGGAGTAGGATTTTCAACATCGATTTTTACGATATCGATATTGTTCAGCCCAATATATCGCCACATAGATTTTACAAGCAACGAATTAAATCGACTCATGATATTGCTACTTTCTTAAATATCGAAAGTTCCTACGTGAATGCAACTCTTCAAGACGATAGTCAGCTGTTGAGCATAGTGAAATTTTTTAGTACTTCCCCATTTCTGTTGCTTTTAGTGCTAAGACTTTCTATCCTTCCTTTTTATTTTGACATTTGGCATGTTTTTTGTTGTTGCGCCAGTGGGATTTTCCACTGAAAAGACGAGAAAAAGTCGAAAATAAGATGCTTGGCGAACAAATGACGAAGCAGTCGCGCTTTTTGGCATATATAAAATAAAAATAGTGAAGTATAAATAATTCTTTTACAGTGGTTGAATTGTGCGGTTGTGATTTGTTCTGTCCGCGCAACTGTGTACAAGTGATAATCACAAAGTTAACAAGTTTATAGAAGGCGTGAAAAAAGAAATCAGAAATAAAAAAATTCCAAAAGAAAGCTACCATCGATTTTGTAATAAAACAAAAATTTTTGTAGAAGCAAAAAATCAATTAGTGTGAAAAAGCGTTTGTTCGCACATTTGTAGAAATAAGTAGGTAAATAAAATGAGTGAAGAAGTGAGCAAAGCGCTGCACAATGGCAGCAACAACGCCCATGTGGCGACCGGCGAAGGGCCTAGTAGTAGCAACGGCCAAAGTCAAGATCAGTACCAGCAAACAAATGAGCAAACTTCGGCACAGAAAAAAGAAGTGCGCGTCTGGTGCGATGGATGGTGAGTCACCCTATGGTTTTCCTTTTTGTTTTCGAAAAAAGTTTGGTAAATAATCAGCAAAATACACTTTTTAAGGTGTGATAAACGCTATGCACTCTTACATCATATTTTCATTTTATTAAATCTTATTAAAGAATTTAATTAGGAGTCAATTGAGTCACAAAACGGGTCAAATCTCTTTGCTATTAGTGTTGTTGCTCATACCAATGTTGGGCGATTACTTAGATGTGGATTGAAAAAATCTCATCTTTGGAGTAATGATCACTTCGGAGGGTGCGGTGCATCTGGCCCATAATAGTAATGTAGCGAAAAAGCGTATTTGTGAAAGTTTAACTACATACATATGTATGTAAACCAAATTTCTTCATAAAGTAATGATCAATGTTGTGGCTTTGTAAGTCAGCAAGTCAAGGCATAAGCCAAAGTGTTAAATACCCACCAAGAACAGCATGATTCAATAATTAAAGGTTAGATAATTATTGAGTTATGCAAAAACAGTACTAGAAAATTGACTGGATACAAAGTAAATTACCATACGCACGTGTGTTTCCTTGACATTGACGCAGGCAGAAACATATTTCTACGTACTACATTGCAAAAATGCAAAACTGCTTGGTACCGGAGTATGTACTTTATGCAAAGTAAGCATACAAAACTAAACTATAAAAACTACTACTAAAAAGACTAACTAAAAAGATAAAAATATATTTAAATACATAAAAATAGCCGCTACAACAACAACAACAACATAAAAATATCACACCCTAGCCTATCATATAATTAACTAAAGTTCACTTAAATTTATTTGAAGAAATTGGGTAGAAGGTATGAAATTTTAAGAAAAGGCATTTGTTTAGGTTTTATGCACACGTCACATTCTTTTAGTAAATGAGCAATATGTGTTTTGCTTTGATCAGGTATTTTCTTCTATATAAAAAAAAAATAGTCGAGCATACATAAGTATTTCATTCATGTCGTTGACTGAAGTGTTCATTTATAGTGCTCTTACACGATATGTATTTTCATATCTATGTAAATGCTACTTTTCTGATACGGTGCAATATATGGTACATACGAGTAGATACAAAAAAGTAGCATTTAAATATGCACAACTGATCACAAAATACTTTGTAGCCTTTACATATGACTGCAAAGCCTGAAGCGTAGGTGCGACTTGGAATAAATTCCACATCAACGGTATAGGAAGTGCGGCTCTGGAACTCGTCCTTTCGGACCGCCCACCTAACCAGTACCCAACATTCGAGCTGCTCGGGATCCCGTCCATTCCGAGAGCCACGGTTTATAACATAATTAGCTGTATTAATTTAAATTGTTTAAATGTGTATATACATATTTGTATAGGTATAGATTTATGATAGTCCTCTCAAAACGTGTAAAGAACAGAATATGTAGTGAAGTAAAAAAGTTGTTTTCATGTATGATTGTGGATCCTGCGATCTAATGTATGCATATATCAATATAAAAACTATAAACCCAAAATTGTACCAAATAAAATGGTAAGCAAATATTGTAAAATTTCAGTTTTGTTATAGGTCTTTAAAGGCTGTCAATAAATGTATAAATAAAATAAGTAAATAAATACACATCGTGTAAGAGCGCTGTTACCTGTATCTGAAGACATCATTTATTCGTTAAACTTCATCAACCAAAGGTCAAAAGTTTTGTAATTAATTTATGACTGTGAACCGATTTACATGTGCATTTAGTTAGAAGTAACCAACCATTTAAGCACGAGAAGTGGAAATGACATGCATGTTTCTAAATAAACTAGGTATTCATTAACTTGCCAGTAAACAAATTTCTGAGAGTAAGCCAACATTTTCAAGTTTTATGAACAGCTGATTAATTTACTGCAATTTTCTAAGAAGAAAGTATTTCATATCTTATTATACAATCTGACAAAGACCGAATAAATCCCAGTATCAAACTTTGTGCAATATTAAAAAAAAAATTTCACAAACTTTCGTAAAAATTTCGAGCATTTTAATTAGATTTCTTAGAAAGATTTGAGTACTTATGCATTCTTGTAGCCCATTCAATAAAGTACAAGTTTGAAGTAGCTAGGGCTTAGGTACCGTTGATCTATGGCAATTTAGCAAGGTTAGGCTATTTATTTGTCTTTGTTCAAAAGTGTTTTTTATTTTTTTATGAGAATATATCTTACTATGTAAAAAAAAAAACATTTAAATAAATCTAAATTTCATACTTTGTAAAGCATATATAAAAATATGAGGAATTTTAACAAATGTTCATCAAAATTTGAAACTTTAATAAGAATTTTTGATTATGCACTTTTGTAGCCCATTAACTGAAAATATTTCTAAGAAATCTAAGTAAAAAGTTCAAAATTTGTTCGAATTTTGCTAAGTTTTGTTGAAAGTTTGAAATTTTGATTTACATGGCAGGTCAAGGCGTGCTATTTATCACGTGCGCTGGCCATCTGTAGATTAGATGTGCATTATTTATATTATAAGGTATTACTCTATCATTTGAACAACAAAACTATTTGCATAAAATTTTCCACATTTTTATAATCACATGCACATGTTGCACCCGAACTTTAAAAGGGACACAATTCAAAATTGGGAATTTTTGAAGTTCTGCGCTAAAAATGTGCACAGAGCTTTTATTTGCCTTTCAGCAAAAGCTCGATCAAATTTTTGTTATAATTTGTTGAAAAAAACCTAAGGTAAAGTCTCCCTTGCTCATATCGTCGCTACCATGTTAATCTATCGAATGTGAAAATGGGTACTGGCTCCCTGACATCAACCCACAAATTTTCAATGGGGTTGATGTCAGCGGTAATTCCATGACGTTGATATTGCTTTCCTCAAACCACCTTTTAGCAACTTTGCTTGCGTGTTTGGGATCGTTGTCCTGCTGGAACGTTCAAACAAGCGTCAGCCGAGAATGGAAACTGCTTTGCTGGCTTTCTTCCACGCTTTTTATCACTTGGTTGGTACTTGATGGCATAACGTACCATTGTCGGCGACGAACCAATAATATTTTGAATCACCACAAAAGTTTTGCCCTCAGCAATCAATTTTTTTATTGCGGCGCACTTCTCGGGTGTGCAATTCTTCTTTCTCGACATTACTAACGGCGCGTTCACATTGGACAATGCTGTGAAGACAATGAAGATATACGTATTAGTTGTCAAAATTGTTCCAATGGAAAAGTATGCATGTGAAAAAGTGTGCATGTGTTACTATTGTCATGACAGTATTGTCCGGTGTAAACCCTAAGTAAATAAGGAACAATAAAACTTTTATAATGAGATATACCATATCAATTAAACTAATTAGTCTCACCGTAATTTTTTTTTTTTTTCACGAATATATTCACGATAGTTTCAATATTTCATACGATAAAATTACGTAATAAAAAAGGTGATACTTACATACATATATATAATGAGCGATAGGCACTTCTAAGATTTTGACCGCAACTGTAAGTACATACATATGTATGTATCTATCTATTTATCTACAGTTTCACTTTGTTTTAAAAGTTTCATAGTTGATTATAGGGCATTAAAACGTGTATGGCATTGCAACACTGCATTTCAATGTTAATACTTCTGATACCAATAAGGCAAAAGTTAATTGCTAATTAGCAAAGCAACGTGTCAATTTACATGCACTGGTCGTGCGGAAAAAATATTGCAAATATTTTGCAATATACTACATACATACTATGTACATATGTATGTACCTGTATTCGTATAGAATAGTAGCTTATGTCGAAAGGCTGGCTTTAGTATAATGCGGCATTCGCAGCATACGATTGCTAATGACACGCTTGCGCCGAGCCGTTGTAGAACTTTTGGCTAATAAACGCGTAGATATAGTTCCGACACTACTTAGCAAGTCAATATTCTTATTAAGTCTCATCAAAAAATTCCATGTCATTTAAAGAATAAAAGGAATGCCGCATTATACTAAAGCCAGCTTCCCGACATAAAGTTTGACGTTCCCACGACAGTCGGGTCTACGTAACCGGAACGACCCAGATTTATATCTGGCCAAGGACTGTCACTCCAGCAACACTCCCCAAAAAGTCTTTGGGGAATTTGTATGCTGCTACAACAACAACAACATAAAGTTTGACAATTATTCAGGTTGAAAAAAATAAAAATCAAACATAATGAAGTTAATAAAAAAAAAATAAATAAATAAATAATAAAAAATGCGATTTTCTAATGCATTTTTTTTATTTTAATCTATCTCACACTTTAATGGAAATCCGAGGTAATTACGCACATTTTGCTACCTTAACTGATTTTCTTCCCAAACCCCCCTAAACGAAAGAGGATGGACGCCGCTTTATGAAAAGTCACTAAGTAGAATTTGTGTTGCCGAAGAAAAGGGGCTGAACAACTTTTGCAGAGATATTTCGTGGATATTTTTTTTTTTAACAGCTCAGCTCGGAAACTTGCAAAAAATACCTTATTTCCAACCGACATTATTCATAAATTAGTGCACAGATATAGTAAATTTTATTTTTGTAACAAAGCGTGAACTGTTGTCTACAAGTGTGTGTAAAAGGTTTTTGATTCGATTCACGCGTTTGGGCACAGCAACCCAAAATCGTTGTACAAATTCATAAAGAGTACCCGAAATACGCCTTAATTAAAAAATCTTTGTATATATGTATGTAAATTTAAACAGCGATATACATACATATGTATGTACATAAATATTTCTAATATTAACGATTCCTCGAATTCTTCGCAAATAATATAAATAAACTCTTCTTATTAATCATTATTTTTTCCGTTTTTGTCTTCCAGAAGATTTTTAGAAATATGGATGTGGCGTGATGTCTGCAAGAATAAACAAAAAGTTAATATTTACAAACTGATTGTATCTACATATTTGTGTCATTGTCACTGATTTCATTGATGATGTTGAATTCATTACTTTTCCTTCTTTCTTTTCTTTAAATTTTATACAAACATCCACACATACAAAGCGAAA